AAAAAACATCTAGAGGAATGGGATTGAAGCCCATGAAAAAATAGGTTGAAGCAATGGGACAACTAAATTGTCTAGACCGGCTGAGTTCACTGTGGGGGTAACCCCAGCCAATTCCTATGATGATAACAGTGAAACTCGTACGAGAAAAAGGTTAAACATTGGTTTTTAATGATTCTTATGCGTCGGATACGTCAGGAATCCGAGCGGAGTAATACGGGTTACTCTTAATTAAGAAATCACCTATGTGAGAGAGAAGTGGGGCCGCTTCAAAGGAGAATTGTGAGGGCTCAATTCTTTAGAAACTCTTGCAGAACCAGGTAGATGTTCATGACCGAAATGAACATAACCATGAGAACAGAACTGTGTCAGGAAGATGTTTGTGTGAAGTATAATAACGTTTACATGAAGGCAGAACAGTTCAAAGACATCGCGTCTACTGGTCAGCCAGTAAAGTTTTTGTATTCTCACAAGGGAAGGTTCAAAGGGTAACGCCTACCTATCCTTTGCAGGCATCGACCACAGAACTCTATCACCGTGGCGAGTCTGTGTTTTTCTTGTCGTCGGTCAATTTTCATTCATGTGGGGGATTGTTGGAAAAATGGTTTGTTAAGCCATTTTAAAGGCCCATTTTGAGCCCCATATTCGGATGGGGCCCAATAGATTTTTAGGACGGGTCTCGATGGATTTGCGTTCTCCGTCGCGAGGAGATCGAAATCGAGTATTCATACACTCAAAATGGTTTTTGGGTGAATGAGAAATTGATGGTCTAAGTATGTTACTTGGAATGGTTAATGTAGAAGAAAATTACAAAAGTCCCACATTGGCTAGGAGTAAAGTCAATGTGGTGTTTATAAGTGATTGCACTTTGAAACTTAGGTAAGCATGTATACTAGAGAGGCTCTCTCATGCGTAGGGGGGTGCGAATCACGATCCCGGCGGGTTGGGGCCTAGTGTGTACGCCCGCGACCTGCGGACACGAATGCCAGACCGAAAAACCCGCTCCGTGCAAGCTTACTTTTGCGATTTTTTATTTTGGCTTTAGCCCAGTCCTTCCAGCTTCTAACCATTTGGCCTTAGCAAATGCTGTGCTTAATGGAGATTAAAGAAGGCTTAATGGGATGCTTAATTCTGAGATTAATTGTGATGATAAAGGCTGGTTATTGAATCAGTTTTTCCATGAACCTGGATGTGTATTGTGGCTGGGGTCAGGAAACGTTTTATGCACAATTAAAATGGAGATTAAGGGCCTTTAATTCCTGGTTTCATAACCTATTTTCCAGAGCCTATATAAGGCGTCTTCACATGAATGAGAGGTACACTTGCACATAAACATATTCTGTTCTTCTCCCATGAGTTCTTCTTCTTTTCCAGTTCGTTGTGTTCTTGTAGTCCGGTTTTGGTGATAGAGGAAAGATCAAGTTCTAGTTCGCCGGACGGTTCCGAAAGTGCATCGAGCTACCGTCATTGTCGTTGTATCCTGGGAGACGGACGTCCAACGTAACCTCAAGCACACGTCGGAGGGGACGAATCTGTATTAAGGAAAACGTGCTCCACGTGCCTCGACATTCTTGCAATTTCCATTTCCGAGTTTTGGTAAAAAGGTTGAATTACAATTGTATGAATTTCGGTTTTGTTCTTCCTTAACTTGTTCCTCTTTTGTATTATCCATACTATTTCGGCTAACAATAAGTCAGGCAGGGTTAAGAGCATGTTCTACTTGAGCGATCACGTTGAAGATGAGCTAATTTGTGCTGCGGACCCTAAGGGCAGATTCTCTGTTGAATCGGACTTTGAACTCGAGCAGATTTGGTACCGATGACACAACTCAATTGGCTATTCGGAAGAGATTGTGGAACTCCTTATTTCATGACAGATTAAGGCTGCTTATGCGGAGAATAGCTAAGGGCCAGTGTCACCCACTTTATCAAGCGTCTTTTCGCCAGGACGCATGGGTTTGGTTGATGGTGGTCATCGGCAAGGGTGGGATTTTCGTCACCTCTCCAAATGATTTGTAACTTTTGGATCATAATTTGTTAGCAAGGAGCTCTTTTGTACCAAGTAAGCATTTCATTTTGTTGTGCGAGCGAGCAAGCAATGATGCCGTATTTAGGAGCATTGACAAAGTCGGCTTTCTGTAGTCAGCAGCCCTTTCTTATATTTGATAATAGCTAATATTTTCAGCCTTGTTTGTCAGTCCTAGCTTTAGTTTCTGTTTGTGGTCGGTCAGTCTGTTTTGCTCTGTTTTTCATTCTGCTGTTTGGATTGTGCTGTGTTGCTCGGTTGGCTTTGTTGGTTTAATGAAATCTGATCCATCAAGAGGGAGGGAAAAAAAAAAAAAACGACCGCAAATTTTGAAGGCAAAATGACAACCTTGGTTGAGGGGAAGTTGCAGTAACATGGTTTGTGGAACGAAAGTCAGAATCTCCATCCACCATAACTTTATCCCCCATGACTTCTTTCACTTTGTTTTACTCTACGACCCTATGTTTTCCTTTTAACATTTCGGGCCACAGATTAGGATATGTAAATTTTGTATTTTAAAAAAAGATTAAAGGAACATGTAATGTAGGCCAGAAAAGATGCATAATGACTGGGAAAAGGGACCAGAAATATCTACCAGCAGTTACAACTCAAAAGGTGCCGATTCGCAAAACACAAACACGGTTTATACAACGTTAACCGTACGCTACAAAACCAAGTCTGCACAGAAAGAAATCACCACACGCAGCGGTAGGTAATATAGGAGTCGGTAATTCCACCACTGTAGATAATCTTTACCACCTGCCCCTTCTCAAGTCCATAGTATCGCGCAATTGCGTCATTCTTCGACATTCGAGGCAGCTGCCAAAGCAGTCACCATTAACATTCAAGTGATACACGCGTTAAACAATAACAAATGCATGTCAAAATGTAAGATATTATCCAACAAAACAAGTATGCAAGATTCAATAGTTTGTCATACCAAGGCACTTCGAAAAATACAGGTAGCTAGCTCAATATGAGACGCAAATTAACAGGCAAAAGGTTTAGCACTAAGCACAAACGTTAAATTTCAACCTAAAGGAAGCAAATGGCTTTCGTGGTATATATGCTAACAGCTAATTAATGTCTTTGGAACTTTGCATAGATTTTTAACCATAAATGGCAAGCAAAGAAAAAAATATATAAATATCAGTAAGAGCTTTATTGGTAGGAAGGAAATGTGAAAGGAGGGATCGGGGTAAGAGGATTAGTAGAAAAATTTTAGGACCTATGGTTGTCGGGCAGGAGGAAGTGGAGGGCTGACTGAATTCAAATACTTCAAAATAACACCAATTTTAACCTCTCCCTGTATGAAGGGATTACAAGAAGCAAACACAATAAAAGAAAGGTCCTCGCCTTCCTCCCTTTTTTCCTCAACTAAGTTATGTACATTTCTTTCCTTCTTATTTTCCTTTCCACTCACCAAACACTGCCTGAGCACAAGCAAGCTGAAAAAGTTCCTTCCTTTCCAAGTATGATACAACATATCCGAGCAAAAGGAGACTGACCTGTTTTACTTCTATGCTGTACTTCTTTAGGAGTTTTTGTTTCTCTTGATCAGTCAACACCCGATGCTTCGGCCTCAACAAATGCTTTGTAATGTTAATAAGCAAGTCAGTAATCTGACACAGAAGGCAAGCCATGAGATATTAGAAGAGTGAAGTGAGAATCAGACCTTCTAAAATTTGATATATCAAAACATTAGCTTAGCAACCGTTACTTTGAATTTTTCACCAAGTAGCAACAAAAGAACAGTCTTCAAATAAAATATAGATCTTTAATTTCTAAACAATAGAAATGAGCCTGGTAAGATATCAGCAATTGTTATGAGAACGTCTCCCGAAAATCTGAAATAGTTTTAACTGTTGTCTCAATTGACATCAAGAAACAAACCTGGAAGATTTCGACTTTAAATGGCAAAAGCTCAACAGCTTTTTGAGCTTGATTCGTCATCTGGCTTTGCAATACCAAAATCAGACCAGTCAAAGTGTTTCTATTAACAATCTGGCCTGCAATGCCTCGGACACTAGTCACTTTCACCACACCAGGCTCACAGAAAATGACAAGAATCTGTTATCAGAACAATGTTAGACGCAATATTCTATATAAGACATAACCAAAGAGTTCTCATCATCATTCTATCAACTGTAGCCAATTCTACAACTGGAGTGCTGAGTCGCTGACTTAATTTTCTTTTTTTTTTTATAAAAAAAAAAAAGAGTAATAAAAACCTGCTCCTTGTTCTGCCTTTATGCCTGAAAACATTAAGTGTATTAAAACCAATATTTGAGATAATGAACAAGAATAATTCTGTAGCACACCAAGTACGTATACCCCAATGTCCAACAAAGTGTTACATAGAAATGAAATCAGGAAAATGCACCCATCGTATGAGAATCCCTTTTTGTCTTCTAGTTTAAACAGCCAGAGAAATCTAATGAAGATAAAAAATTCCTACTAGCACATACTTTACCAGACAGCCATACGAAATAATAATTGTTTTGTTGATGACAGTAGAAGGAATATGAGATTTACTAGTTATTTTAGTTAGTAAAAACGAGCTTTACTCAGTATAACAAGATTTACCAGTTAATTTAAGTCCATAATATGAAATTTACACACACAAAAAAGAAAGGGAAAAAAAAAAAAAAAGCCCCAAAAAATTCGGTAATTTTTCCCCAAATCTCCCAAAAATACCTCACAACTTCAAATATATACACAGAAGTGGCAACTCAAACAATAAACAATCTGTTGTCTATTTATGATTTTGGGTAAGACGGAGAAAAAGAAAGCAACGAACAACATGCAAAAGAACAGTTTGACTAGCAATGACCCATTACTTCTAATTTTTTTTAATTTCAAAATGTCAATGAAGAACAACAGAAAAACACTTTAAAAGCCTAAAACAAAACAAACCCACATCTTTTTTTTTTCTTTTCTCTCGTTTCTTTTCATTTTCCCAAAAAAATAAATAAATAAATAAACAACAACAACCACCACCTCCCAGAAAACCTGAAAAAATGACCATTTATGATAGGTAAAGGGTAAAGGGTATCATTTACTAGTAATGACCCATTAACACTGCTAATTTTTTCTTCTTCTTTTCAAATTTCAACTGAAGAACAACAGAACAAAGGCTTTAAAGGCACAAAACAAAACAAACCCAAATTTTTGTTTTCGTTGTTGAAAGAGATTAGAGATAGTTGATTACCCTCTTGGAAGGGTCGGAGAGATGGGTTACGGAGAAGCGGAGGCGGTCAACGTCGGGGATTTGACCGTAGATTTGACGGAAGTCATGGAGAGAGAGATTGATGTCGGAGGAGGGAACGGAGTAGCCTCTGTCTTTGAGCATTTCCAACAGGGTTATGCGAGACAGAAAGTATCTGTGGCTTTCTACGCTTCCTTTGTCGATCAAGCTGCTCAGGCACGTCCCCAACGTCTCTCCGTTTGGTTCTCCTCCTCCTCCTGAACTCCCACCATTTTCCTCCATTTCTCTCTCTCACACACACATACACACTCGCTCTTTCCGTGCAATTCCGTTGTGTTTGTGCGTGTATTTGTAGGAAGGAGGCTTGGACAATGGGGCACTTGGGCTTTCCTTTTTAATGAGAAAAGGGAAATCGTAGAAAATATGTCAATATGAAAAATTTAAAGAAGTATATAGATTAATTTTTAGTTATAGAAATTAATAGGTTATAACTTGTTAAATTATGATTTATAACCAAATAAGTTATGGATAATTTTATCAAGTTATGATTCATAATGAGATAAATTATGGACAAAAATCATAAATTATGGACAATAACTTGTCAAGTTATGGTTCATAACCAGATAAGTTATGAACGAAAACAGTAATTTAGCCTATTTATTAACTTATATAAACTATTGGCCTATTAATTTTAATTCATTTCAAGTCTTGGCCTATTTCCTTCTTTCTCCCATGAGAAAATTGCATAATTTAGGTGGGCTTCACTTTTATTAATAACTTTTGACGAATCTTAATAAATACTTCTTAAAAAGTGTTTGTCTTAATTTTTATTTTTTTATTTTCAATTAATATACTTTTTAATTAAATAATTATGTTGATAAATATTAATTAAAATTAAAGAATAAAAATTTAGATTTATACATTTTTAAATAGGGCCGGTAATATGGGTCGTGACATGACAACACAACTCGAAAACGACACGAATTTCGCAGGTTAGGATTAAGAAAAAAAAGGTTCAGGTCAGAATTGGATCGACCTGAAATTAATACGAAAAACACAGGTCAATTTCGGGTTGGACCCGCTTAACCCGAACACAACACGAAACTAGTAAAAAATTAAAAAATACATATATTTTTCATTACATATTCTTTATTTTATTATGAACTTGTGATATCATGAAAGTTATACTCAAAATCTTATACTATTATTTACTTAATTTCAATGAATGTTATTGTATTTTAGTGTATTATGAATTTTAAGATATTTCTAATATGTAAAAAATAAATAAAAGTATACAATTTTCGTGTCAATTAAGGGTTCACAGGTCAATGTCGTGTCACGGGTCATTTTTGTGTCGTGTCGTGTCAACCTGTAAAGTGGTCGTGTCGTGTTCGTGTTGCGGTTTTTAAAAAATTTTGAGTCACGGATCGTGTTCGAGTTGACTGCAAATTTAGAAAGAAACGATCAAAACACGACACGAATACGACACGTGACACGAATTACCGCTTCTATTTTTAAAGATAAATTTAGTAATTTTCTCATATAGATAATCGCTTTTACTAGTATAATTATTTGACTAAAAAAGTTATTAATTAAAAATAAGAAATAAAAATTTTAACCTATGTACTTTTATGAAGCATTTGTCTCCTTTCCCCGTTCCACTTTGTTGCGCCTTGGCCTCTGTCCCACAGTGTACAATATAACAAAATTTTTAAAATATTACAAGAATATAAAATTTTGATATCTTTAAATTAATGATTATGTCATTATATAATATAAAATGTGATATATAATAACTATGTTATTTTTATTATATTTAAATTTTGAAAATTTTACTAAATTTTGAAAATTTTACTAAATTTTAACTTAAGGAATGAAATTTTATCATGTAGAGTAATTATTTCTTACAAAAGTGTTCATTATGTAGGGAATGAAGGAAAATATATATATATATTTATAGAAAATGATCATTTTTAAAGTCTATATTTAATATGCCTTTAATCAAATAATATTGACAATCTGTCTATTTTATGGTTATTGAGATATCTTTTTAGATATACTCTTTTCATGTGAATAGTTATGAATTCTTATCATTGATTTTAAGGGTGGTTAACAAAGGGAAATAATGTCATTACAGATTATTTTATAGGCTTACGAGTAAATATCAGAACTTATAAACATTCTTTTTTCATCCCATGCATAATAGATCGTATGTAATTAACTCAAAAAAAAATGTCCACAAATTCTGATATTTGCACATATAAAAAGGATAGTAATATCCATAAAATGGATAACTTAACAATATTGTTACATTCAAGACATATTCTAGACAAAAGGTTTAAAAGTAATCATTTTGTGCAATTATTTCCATAAAAATATTTATGAACTTTCTGTCTTAAAATGTCTACTTTTACACATATACATGTACTTTTTTTAAATAAAATATATAGTAATTGTGATACTGATTATACCCACTTTGTATATTTTGGGCTAATTCCTTATATAATTATTTTTATATACATTTTTTTACTCGACTTGCTTTTTTTATGCCAAAATTCAACAGAACACTGCGTGTGGAAGCGCACGGTAATCAGAATATATTCTCCACCTCTTTCGGTTGGATCTCTAGCTCTGTTTGGATCTCAAACATTGTTTAGATCGAGTTTATATCATTGATCAAGACAAATCCCTAGCACTATTCTGCTGAGAGTCATGTAGAATCTGACGTCAAATTAGGATGTAAGGACCATGCGTGGGGTGATGTTTCGGATGGGAGCAATTTGAAGAAATTTTGTGTTATTGCATTGGCGATTTGATCTTCTAGGAATTTCTTAGTAGTGTGCGGTCTCGCTCTGTAATAAGGTGCTTGATATGGCAAGGCGTGTGCTTGATGATTATCAAAGATGTCGGAAGATGAATCACGTTCTGGGCCAACCTGTTGTGACTCGTGATGTAAATGGGATAATCTTAACAAATACTTCTTGAAAGTGAATGGGTCAGGATTTTTATTCTTTACTCTTTATTCGTAACATTTTTAGTCAAATAATTATACTAACAAAAAGATATTTATCAAGAGCAATGGATAAAAGTTCAAATTCATATATTTTAAGAGTAAATTCTGTAATTTTCTCCGTAAAATGGGAACCACCGGCCCCCTGCAGGAATGTTGGACCTTAACATGAATGCTTCCGTGCATAAGAGACTCAAGACTGTTGGGGCTGCTATTCAAGGTTGTGCTGCTACACATATTGTTGAAGTGGACGCTCTCCGTGTCGTTCAAGCTCTCAAGGTAGGGTTCTCCCATGCAGTTGAAGGTGCTTTAATTATTGATATTTTGAATCTTCCTGTTGTTTGTCCTAGTTGGAAGTGTGTCTTTGTTGCAAGGGAGGGCAAATGGTGTTGCTCATTCTCTTGCCTCTTATAGTTCTCTCTCTGGTGCAAAGTTTGTTAGGATGGTCTGAGCTCCTTCCTTTTTTTTTTTTTATTTGTGAGTTTATATCCAATTTGGCTTAGTATTGATATGATTCTATCCTTAGAAAAAAAAAAAAAAATTATTGATTTTCTTTATTTTTTTTTAACTGATATTTCCTATAATTTTTTTTATTACGAGGTTGATTACTTCTAGAGTTATCTCATGCATTAATCTTGTTGAAATATAAGTCCAATAACTATACAATCTAAATGTAACATTTTTCATATTCCAATATAACATAGTTTGTACGTGTGTAATACTCAATTTATTAAGTGTAAAACTCAATGTCACATGTGTTAGTCTATATTTTTAAAACGTTACACTTAGACAAACTGAATATTACACACAGCAAATGAAGGATGTCACATAGAGAAAAAAAAAAAAAAGAAAAAAGAAAAGTTATATTTGTCCAACTGACTTAGGAGTCCGATTTAAGACAATTCCTAAGATTTATTATAACAATTTACTGCATACTTTTTCTATTCTTAAAATATTATGAAAAAAATTGTCGATGGTGTAATTAAAAAAATATATTGTTGTATTTCAATTTCACTCCTGTAATCGCTCACCCCTTTTTTTTTTTAATAATTAGCCTTTTTCAATAAGCCTCTCTCTATCACTGTAGTCAGCCCCTGATTCTCAGGAACATCCGCCACAATACAAACATCTCTTATCAAATTGTCAAACCTCCATAATTGAAAGGATTAATTGAAAACATAACAAATAGTGTTGTTGATTCTGGCAGCGCAACTTACCCACATATAGAGAGTCAATGGCCTCACTAGTACTACTGCTACATGTATAAGACGAGTGGAAAAAACATAAAAATGAAAATAAAAATTGTTTGGTACGACCGCAATAGAAGCAACCGAATCTGAACATTAAAAAATATATATATATATATATATATTTATATATATAGCATTAGAATTGCCCTCGATAGGCATCAATAAGACTGTATATAGGTTGGGTTTGTGGGAGGTAAAATTTTTTTTTATTCCATTTTAAAAGATGCGGGTTGCACATATTTAGCCCTAATGATGTTAGAAAAATTTCATAACTCAATGATGTTTGAATTGGGTTGGGGCGGGACGGGGTGGGTTGGGTGGTCGGATTCATCATTCAAATAATCAAAGTTTAATCTAATATTCAAAGTTTATCATCAAATAGAAATAATAACTCCAACATTTAAAGTTCATCATCAAATAATACTGATCATCAAATAGAAATAATACTGATAATCAAACATAACTCCAACATTCAAAGTTCATCATCAAATAGAAATAATACTGATTAGTCCGTCATCAAATAGATAACAATTCAAAATTCAATCCAACATTAAACATAAAACAAAGTAGTTCATCTAACATCAAACATAAAGCGAACATAAATTAGAGGCTTAATTCAAATACATCCAAAACAAGCATTGCAACAGCAACCATCCTTATCAGTCCACACTTATAGGCTTTTTATCAGGCATGTTAGTGCGGATTGGGTTTGGGGTATGCAGGTTATTATAGGCTTAACCCACAAACCGCCATAAACACCTTAGATCAGACATTTAATGGGCCGAAAAATATAAAAAATTATGTTATAAGTTACTTTTTTCAGGTTGGATTGGAGTAAAGTGAGTTGAGTTTACGAGTTATTCGGGTTTATGTACAGCCCAATCAATAATTGATAGACACAAATCTCAAAACAAAAATGTAAGCATAGAAGTTTAGCAAATCAATTTTTTGGTGAACAATGTTATAACCACTTAACCAGCGAGCATCATACCACTACCACTTTTTTTTTTTTTTTTGGCTTGGGTTTAAATTTAAGAAACATAAACAATCTTTCGCCTAGAATAATGCAACCTAACAACTTGAGTTGGCAACATATTATTTTTCCTATTTTCTTCACTAATTACGGATGAATTGTAAAACTCAAACATTGTTAATTAAGCGAAGATCAATATAGACTAATGTAGCACTAGTTACAAAGCTAGCGACACTAACATGCAAATTCATGCCATCGCCACCCATTTTTCAACTAGTAAAAATTGTTAGGTCAAACTATATGAATCCGTGTGTAATAACTAATAATGAGTCTGTTAATTAACATATAAAAAAAAAAACACAAAATGAAAAACCTAACAATGAAGATCACCAATTAAGCAGTTTCCTTATAGAAAATAAAGGACAAAAAAAAAACAATAAAATTAACTTTGCCACTCCATCCATTCATAGAAACCGAGGACCCCAAGGCCCCAATATGCACGAGTAACCAAGAGCACTAAAAAGCACTACAGAGTAGTATTACTATTCATAATTATTGTCTATATCATGTTCTCTCACTATATTTTGTTTTTTATGTAATTAATACGTTTAGTTTATGAATTAAAATCATAAGATTAAAATTATTTTTGATTTACATATATTTTTTATAAGAGAAAGACTATAATAAATTATGAATTATGATTCAAATCATGGAATGAATTCTCTTATTAGACGACAATCACTACAAATACATTTTTGGCATAGAAAGCTACATAAATTAAAAATATTAAATTCTTATTCAAATCTTGCTAGAGACCAACAAAATAAAAATAAATAAATAAATAAATTGAAAAACTTCATGGATAATCACAATTAGTAAAAAACCTCGTTCGAGGGATTGGACCCGCCTGTAAGACTTTGAGCATTCTTGTCAACATCTATGTCAAACGCTAGTCGGCCCCTACTCAGACTTTTTTATCATCAAAAAATTCAACCATTCGTAAACTGATGAAAATCCAATATTGCAAATTCAAGAGCAACAAGCAGGGCATCGAATCAAGCCATTCTCATTACAATCCAAGCACCTCTTGAGCCCTCCTTCTTCCTCCTCAAACACCTTTCTACTCCCATTACACCTCGGACACGGCACGAACCTCGCGTCCCCGCAGCCATTGCAGACAAACCCAGCTTCCAATCTCGGCAACCCTTCCAAAAGATAACCCAATTCTCCATTCTCATTAAGCTGCCTAATCTCCTCCGCACCTCCAACATACTTCCCCCTTATAAACACTCTCGGCAAACTCAATCCCCTCCCTCCAAATGCGTTCTCCACTTCCTTTCTGAACTCCGAGTCCATCGAAACGTCCCGCTCGTCGACCGACACCCCGAACCCTCTCAGTATCGCCCGCACGCTGCAGCAATCCTCGTACGTCTTTCTTATCCCTCGCAAGCTCGTGAAGTATACGATGATCTTGTCTTCGGTTCCCGCTAATGGTTTGGAACACCAGAAAGGACTGGAGCCGAGTGATCGGGCTTTGGAGTGTTTGCTGTAACGACACAATTGTCGAGAAGACAATGCTCGTCGGTATGTTAAGCCGACGTTTGGGTCCATTTTGGATAACAGAGATTCCTCGGATAAGTGTTGCCATAACGGCTTTGTTGCGGAGGAAGACGATGAATATGAAGACGGAGATTGGGAATAATGGTAAGAGTTTTCTGTAATGATGGGTTCGGAGTATCTCATGGAATCGAACGAGTTGAGACGTGTTTTCGACGATGGCCCGTCGAAGTCGGTGAAGCGACAGGAACTGGGCTTGGTACGGGATTGAATCGGACGGCCGAGGTTGGAGGAAATCACGACGTCGAAGTCATCGAGGCCGTCCATGAGCTCCCAGGTGTTGATGACGGAGTCAGGGGAGGGAGAGTATTGTACTTGTTGTTGATCTGGTGAGGTTTTTTGGGCGGTCTTGTTTTGGGGCGGTTGAAACGGCGGCGTTTTGGGGGGGTCGATGAGGAGAGAGCCGTAGGTGGTGGAGGTGAGAGAAACAATGTGGTGGGTGTCGCCTTTTTTAATTGCGGGGTGGTGGACGAGAGGGGTGGAGAGAGAAAGTGCTTTTGGGATTGGATTTGGATTTGGTGGTGGTGGGGAAGAAGAAGAGTTTGAAGATTCTGATGGGCAAATTGATGGGTTTGAAGGGCGGTTTTGGTTGTGGTGGTGGTGGTGGTGGTGGTGTTGGTCTGAGTTTTTGGTGTTGAGAATTGTGACGGGTTTTGAAGCAGAACAACCCATTGGGAAAAAAAAAAATGTAAAGAGAGAGTGATAAGTTGTGATTCTATTTATTCATCTTTTTTCTTTCTCTCGCCTTTTTGTGGGGGAAAATTTTTGGTCGGTTTTAGAGAGAGAAATTGTAGTTTTGAAGAAGAAGATTTAGGTCATGGAATGAAATGATTCTAAAAGACGCCTATTTCTCTCCCTCTCACTCTTTCTACTCTACAGGAGTGGATGATATTAGGGTTTTTGGTGGGAGATTTGGTTGGTTTTAGAAAGAAGGGAAATTATAATGTAATGATAATGATAATGTAGAGAGAGAGAGAGAGAGATTGTGGTGTTTTGGGAGAATTTGGAGGACTTGGATGAAAAGGCTATGAGAGGGGAGAGTGAGTGTTGTTATTGGGTGAAGAAGAGCTTTCAAGAGGGTTGGAGTGGGGAAGATAAAGGAAATGAATGCCTTGAGTTGTACAGGACCTTAAAAAAAATTTATAGAAAAGGCAACGCGGTTATCACTTAAAATAGTTTTGTTACTTTGTTTGAATTGATTTGACTAATGTTCAAGCAAAAGAAGGCCAAAAAAAAAAAAAGAATTTGACTAAATAGTAAAATTATAGAAATAGAATTCGGAGTAGAGTCAGTAATATCTACGACATGTTCTTTTCAAAAATAAATTTAAAAAGACACCATACGACAAATCATAATCTGCACACTGTTATCTGATCAGACTTTAACGAAGAAAGTTCTGCGGCTTGCGAGAATAATCAGAATGGCAATCTTGGCTTGTCTTTAGAAAGTTGCCAAAAAAGTTTTAAATGAAAATTTCAAATTCAGTTTTTTTTTGAATGTGCTGTACAACTCCAATTTTTTGTCACTGGATGAAATTAAAAAAAAAAAAAAAAAAGCCACGATCTTTTGAAATTTTTATCTAACTCTTGAAATTATAGTATTATACTAGTGAAATATTTGTTTTAAAGGTTCGTCTTTAGTTTTGAATTATGATTCTCTAGTTCTTTACGGTGTTTTTCTTTTATAAAAAATTTAAATTTCAAAAATCAAAATTAGGAACCATGATTCTGAACTCATGAACCAAATACCCCATGGTTTCTTTCTTTACATTATTCTGTAAGATAAGTCATTTTTTATACAATGTAGGATTGAACTCCGTTATTTCAAATTCAAGTCATATTTCATCCTATACATAATAACTCTGTTTGTTTTGAGGGTTCTAGCATGGTTTAGAATCATAGTTTTTGATTCGTTACAGTGTTTTTTTCTCATAAACAATTTAAATTTTAAAAATCAGAATCATGAATCATGGTTCTGAACCCATGAACCAAACGTCACCTTAGTATTTTCTCTTATAAAAATTTAAATTCAATTTTTTCTTTTTCTGTTACAGTGATTTCTCTCGTATAAATGTATTTTTTACCTCAAATTCTTAACTCAAACGAACAAAGAAAACGAGACTTATATCGTTTGCCAAACCCCATAAATCATTGGCAAATAAGGATTTCTGCATTGACTATTTAAAAAAAAAAAAAAAAAACAACAACAACAAAACAGGTAATCTTGTTGGAAATTTTGCAATTTGGTTTAGTGATATGGTTTACTCATTTAAGATCTAAGAAGAGAATTGTTCCAAAGGAAAAGCAATTTCAATTTTTAAAATTTGGCATTGGATGTAGTAAGAATTAGTTGTTAATTAATGCGACAATTAATTGCGTGTATCTTATGGGTCGGTCCAACTGAGCATTCTGCTCAACAAATGTGACCCAAACTTTGATGGTCTGAAGTTTGAACTACCCTACCATTTCTTAAAGCAATCAAAGAGAAATAAAGATACTGCATATTGGTGTGTTATGCATTATTATTACTCACAACTGTACTTTTGCACTGCCTTATTGTTGGAATGAATTCTCTTATTAGACGACAATCACTACAAATACATTTTTGGCATAGAAAGCTACATAAATTAAAAATATTAAATTCTTATTCAAATCTTGCTAGAGACCAACAAAATAAAAATAAATAAATAAATAAATTGAAAAACTTCATGGATAATCACAATTAGTAAAAAACCTCGTTCGAGGGATTGGACCCGCCTGTAAGACTTTGAGCATTCTTGTCAACATCTATGTCAAACGCTAGTCGGCCCCTACTCAGACTTTTTTATCATCAAAAAATTCAACCATTCGTAAACTGATGAAAATCCAATATTGCAAATTCAAGAGCAACAAGCAGGGCATCGAATCAAGCCATTCTCATTACAATCCAAGCACCTCTTGAGCCCTCCTTCTTCCTCCTCAAACACCTTTCTACTCCCATTACACCTCGGACACGGCACGAACCTCGCGTCCCCGCAGCCATTGCAGACAAACCCAGCTTCCAATCTCGGCAACCCTTCCAAAAGATAACCCAATTCTCCATTCTCATTAAGCTGCCTAATCTCCTCCGCACCTCCAACATACTTCCCCCTTATAAACACTCTCGGCAAACTCAATCCCCTCCCTCCAAATGCGTTCTCCACTTCCTTTCTGAACTCCGAGTCCATCGAAACGTCCCGCTCGTCGACCGACACCCCGAACCCTCTCAGTATCGCCCGCACGCTGCAGCAATCCTCGTACGTCTTTCTTATCCCTCGCAAGCTCGTGAAGTATACGATGATCTTGTCTTCGGTTCCCGCTAATGGTTTGGAACACCAGAAAGGACTGGAGCCGAGTGATCGGGCTTTGGAGTGTTTGCTGTAACGACACAATTGTCGAGAAGACAATGCTCGTCGGTATGTTAAGCCGACGTTTGGGTCCATTTTGGATAACAGAGATTCCTCGGATAAGTGTTGCCATAACGGCTTTGTTGCGGAGGAAGACGATGAATATGAAGACGGAGATTGGGAATAATGGTAAGAGTTTTCTGTAATGATGGGTTCGGAGTATCTCATGGAATCGAACGAGTTGAGACGTGTTTTCGACGATGGCCCGTCGAAGTCGGTGAAGCGACAGGAACTGGGCTTGGTACGGGATTGAATCGGACGGCCGAGGTTGGAGGAAATCACGACGTCGAAGTCATCGAGGCCGTCCATGAGCTCCCAGGTGTTGATGACGGAGTCAGGGGAGGGAGAGTATTGTACTTGTTGTTGATCTGGTGAGGTTTTTTGGGCGGTCTTGTTTTGGGGCGGTTGAAACGGCGGCGTTTTGGGGGGGTCGATGAGGAGAGAGCCGTAGGTGGTGGAGGTGAGAGAAACAATGTGGTGGGTGTCGCCTTTTTTAATTGCGGGGTGGTGGACGAGAGGGGTGGAGAGAGAAAGTGCTTTTGGGATTGGATTTGGATTTGGTGGTGGTGGGGAAGAAGAAGAGTTTGAAGATTCTGATGGGCAAATTGATGGGTTTGAAGGGCGGTTTTGGTTGTGGTGGTGGTGGTGGTGGTGGTGTTGGTCTGAGTTTTTGGTGTTGAGAATTGTGACGGGTTTTGAAGCAGAACAACCCATTGGGAAAAAAAAAAATGTAAAGAGAGAGTGATAAGTTGTGATTCTATTTATTCATCTTTTTTCTTTCTCTCGCCTTTTTGTGGGGGAAAATTTTTGGTCGGTTTTAGAGAGAGAAATTGTAGTTTTGAAGAAGAAGATTTAGGTCATGGAATGAAATGATTCTAAAAGACGCCTATTTCTCTCCCTCTCACTCTTTCTACTCTACAGGAGTGGATGATATTAGGGTTTTTGGTGGGAGATTTGGTTGGTTTTAGAAAGAAGGGAAATTATAATGTAATGATAATGATAATGTAGAGAGAGAGAGAGAGAGATTGTGGTGTTTTGGGAGAATTTGGAGGACTTGGATGAAAAGGCTATGAGAGGGGAGAGTGAGTGTTGTTATTGGGTGAAGAAGAGCTTTCAAGAGGGTTGGAGTGGGGAAGATAAAGGAAATGAATGCCTTGAGTTGTACAGGACCTTAAAAAAAATTTATAGAAAAGGCAACGCGGTTATCACTTAAAATAGTTTTGTTACTTTGTTTGAATTGATTTGACTAATGTTCAAGCAAAAGAAGGCCAAAAAAAAAAAAAGAATTTGACTAAATAGTAAAATTATAGAAATAGAATTCGGAGTAGAGTCAGTAATATCTACGACATGTTCTTTTCAAAAATAAATTTAAAAAGACACCATACGACAAATCATAATCTGCACACTGTTATCTGATCAGACTTTAACGAAGAAAGTTCTGCGGCTTGCGAGAATAATCAGAATGGCAATCTTGGCTTGTCTTTAGAAAGTTGCCAAAAAAGTTTTAAATGAAAATTTCAAATTCAGTTTTTTTTTGAATGTGCTGTACAACTCCAATTTTTTGTCACTGGATGAAATTAAAAAAAAAAAAAAAAAAGCCACGATCTTTTGAAATTTTTATCTAACTCTTGAAATTATAGTATTATACTAGTGAAATATTTGTTTTAAAGGTTCGTCTTTAGTTTTGAATTATGATTCTCTAGTTCTTTACGGTGTTTTTCTTTTATAAAAAATTTAAATTTCAAAAATCAAAATTAGGAACCATGATTCTGAACTCATGAACCAAATACCCCATGGTTTCTTTCTTTACATTATTCTGTAAGATAAGTCATTTTTTATACAATGTAGGATTGAACTCCGTTATTTCAAATTCAAGTCATATTTCATCCTATACATAATAACTCTGTTTGTTTTGAGGGTTCTAGCATGGTTTAGAATCATAGTTTTTGATTCGTTACAGTGTTTTTTTCTCATAAACAATTTAAATTTTAAAAATCAGAATCATGAATCATGGTTCTGAACCCATGAACCAAACGTCACCTTAGTATTTTCTCTTATAAAAATTTAAATTCAATTTTTTCTTTTTCTGTTACAGTGATTTCTCTCGTATAAATGTATTTTTTACCTCAAATTCTTAACTCAAACGAACAAAGAAAACGAGACTTATATCGTTTGCCAAACCCCATAAATCATTGGCAAATAAGGATTTCTGCATTGACTATTTAAAAAAAAAAAAAAAACAACAACAACAAAACAGGTAATCTTGTTGGAAATTTTGCAATTTGGTTTAGTGATATGGTTTACTCATTTAAGATCTAAGAAGAGAATTGTTCCAAAGGAAAAGCAATTTCAATTTTTAAAATTTGGCATTGGATGTAGTAAGAATTAGTTGTTAATTAATGCGACAATTAATTGCGTGTATCTTATGGGTCGGTCCAACTGAGCATTCTGCTCAACAAATGTGACCCAAACTTTGATGGTCTGAAGTTTGAACTACCCTACCATTTCTTAAAGCAATCAAAGAGAAATAAAGATACTGCATATTGGTGTGTTATGCATTATTATTACTCACAACTGTACTTTTGCACTGCCTTATTGTAGTGATAGTTGTCAATTTTTTTAGCATTTTTTTTTAGTCTATGGATTCAGAACTATGGTTCAGAATCATTATCGTTTCACGTGTATTTTTTATGAAAAAAATACTGTAATAAACCACGAACCATAATTGAAAAAAATACTGTAATAAACCACGAATCATAATTTGAACCATGACATAAATCCATCTTCCAAACGCACGAGGCCATTTTTGGTAAGCTTTGCCCCTTTTATTTATTTACTCCTTGAATTTTTAAGAGAATGGTAAATTTCTTTCTTTGACAAGTGAATCTATTTTCATGAAACACTTTTGTGATAACTACAAGCTGCATTGCATAATTTCTAGTTGGAACTTGGAACAACACCAATTCGGATCTGAAATCAAAGAAAAATGCACACATATGAAGAAGCCTTTTTTTTTTCCTGAAATATTAAAAAGCTCAATAGAGCGCTCACAAAGTGAGAATGTGAAGGGTTTTTTTTGTTGTGGTATTTTTTTTTTTTTTTGTGGCTTTAGTGCTTCAATATCAGTTATTAGAATAAGTTCCCCCTGGCAATTGATTACTATTATTATTATTATTATTATTATTATTATTATTATTTATTGCTAAAGGGCAGTTGATGCTTAATTAATTAGATATTATGCAACTTCGAGACCAAAGGCCAAAATAGCAAGTCTATCACTCTACTATAGAAGATAGGGGTGTAATCTATTATTATTATTATTATTATTATTATTATTATTATTTATTGCTAAAGGGCAGTTGATGCTTAATTAATTAGATATTATGCAACTTCGAGACCAAAGGCCAAAATAGCAAGTCTATCACTCTACTATAGAAGATAGGGGTGTAATTCGGCCAGGTAGGGTCGGGTTGAGCCGACCCGCTCAATGCGGGTTGAGAAAATTTTAGACCGCAACACTCTCTTAAGCCCACAAACCTGGAACCTGTCGGGTGATCTCAGGTAGGCTCGGGTTACTCGGGTTGGTGAAAACTAATTTTAATCTATGACTTCGTACCTCTTTCAACAGTCCAAAAGCATAAAATCCATAAACAGTCCATAAACATTAACATAACATCAAATATACCTCTTAACAGTCAATAAAGTCTAGAAATAAAATTAACAATACGTCAAATAAACAGTTTATATAGAGAAAGTCCAGCAAAATAGATTTAAAAATTTAGGGTTACACACCTAAATCGGGTCGAGTCGGGACAAAGCGGGTTTAAAATGCCCGCCCCACCCCCCAACCCACACAGTGCGGGTTAGGACTATTTGAATCTAACTTTTTAAAATTTAAAAAAAAAAAAAAAAAAAAAAAAAACCCCTACGCTTTCAGGTCGGACGGGTTATTCGGATTCGGGCTCATTTCTTACCCCCTAATAGAAGACATTAAATTTTGACACCGAATGTACTAGTGATGATGTTATATCCTTTAATTTCATATCAATAGGAATTAAAGTTCTTTATGCACACACATGCACACGCTCATAAAAGAAAGTTGAAGCTGAAAATTAACCAAAGCAGAATATTTTTCACCCTTATTTTCACCCTTTTATAAAGAATCTTGTTATAAAGAATCTAGTTAATTAGGGTAATGATCGTTTTTTTTTTCTTAAAGAATTTTTTAAGAATCTTGGTGATCCCCATCGAATCTTGTTATAAAGAAAAAAAAATTTTCAAAAATTACAAACGACAAAGTTAATTATTAAAGATATCTATTTGTACTACTTTTACTAAACGAACGTTTAATTTCTTTTTTTTTTTTTTTTGTTATTTTCAGAAAAGCAAACAAAATCTTGAAGATGAAAAGGCAACAAAAATGGGTATTGGAATTTTCTTTGGGATAGCCGAGAAATAATGAGAGGACCTTTTGGACTGAAAGCATGTTTATAATGAATGCAGGCAGTGACATAGAGAAGTTGCCATCAAATGAGTCCTCAACGAGCAGGTTGGGATGGACACATGATAAATGTACAGGGACCACTTGTAACATCATTTTCTTCAATTTAAGCCCAAAAAAATCTACACAGAAACTCCTTTTTGTTTTTATATGGATTTTTTAGCTGCTTCTTCTTGTCCTTGTTACTTTATTTTTATCTCATATTCTCATTCTCAGAGCCATATTAAATCAATTACTTTGGCAGAAGTGCTTGATAATGTAGGAAATTCCTAATAATGAGTTTGGTCACGTACGGCTTGAATGAATCATTCAAGCATTCATTCAACAAGGGAGGAAAAAAAAAATATATATATATATATATATGAAGAAAAAAAAAAGGAAATAAAAGAATTTGTGGGGGTAAAAATTGTTGGAAAATTAATGGCATCGAGTGCGTAGTGAAATTTAAAAAATTTTAATCAACGTCAAAGCCAAACAAGAACATGTTCATGATGCTATATAACATAAATACTAAAGATCTAAA